TATGGTTCAGAACGGATTAACCGTAATTACATTGAACCTTATGGGAAAATTTGATTCGGGTTGTGACCAATTCGGGTCGCGACCAGAGTCGCGGAACGAATTAAGTTCGTGAACCGAGGTACCACTGTATCTAGCTCCAAGCTTCAGAAAAGCCAAGATGCGGTTTGAAAGTGGCCAACAAGCTCAATCTGTTGCTCTACAGTAAATCCACTCATCCCAGTGAAACAATGCTGGGCTCCGTAGATCTGAAGTTGGTCCACAAGACAGAATCGATTAATTGGTGTGATTAAATGAAATAAAGCTTTGTAACAGCAGATTAAATTTGCTTCTTGATTCATTACAAAGGCTGATCAGCAGAAAGTTTAGAGACTTTCCTGTGGAACTGCTGAGGGGTAAATCAAGTCCCTTGTTCTTACAGTTACTACCCTCATCTGGCAGCCATTTTGCTTCATAGTGAACCTTCTACAGCTCTGTTTCCAACAACATGAAACACAAACCAATCAAAACAGTTATCAGTGGTGTTGAATGCTTCTGTATCCTTTTAAAACTGGTTGCTCACAATACTGATGAGATGTGAGTTTGTTAGGAAATGAAGACACTTCCAACTCTGGTTAATATTTCCTATTTAAAAAGTAATGAAACTCCTAAAGATGGTCTTCTGCTTTGATAAGCAGCAGAGGTTGCTTTTACACTACAGCTTTCACCCTAAAGCAACTGAGCCCTTGCCAGAGACTCTATAGAGGTGCCTTTACAGCTCTGCCCAACACAGCACTACTAATTCCTATGTTTTCCTACAGAGCTTGTGCAGCAAAGCATTGACTGTCCTTGCTTTGCTTCTTCATGCAATGAGTGACAGAAACACTAAACAGGTCTTTCAGAAGGGCTTGGGAAATTATGCTGAACTGATTTGATTTTCATTTACCTTTTGGTATCTGCCTTTCCAACAGGGAGTTACTTAACTAAAAAGCTTATATTCTGTAGAGGTGTATGCTTCAGACCCCTCCATTTGCCAAGAAGAAACTCCCCACTCACAGCTGCAAGTAGAAGAGTTGCTTTTTAACTGTGGGAGGCTTCAGAATCTGCAGAAAGTGATGATTTAATAAAGGTATAATAGAAATTGTTAACTTCCCATTCCTTTAAAATGGAAGTATCTATTGTATGAAAGAATAGTGAGATTATGTTTAATGGACTGCATAACTGAGACGTTTTCTTAGTAATTCTTTATTCTTGGAAGACTAACAGGATGAAGAGCTTCTCCTACCTCACTGCCCACCTATACATACGCACCAAGAACAGGATCCTAGAGGGTTAGTCTCAAAGAAAAACCGAATGAATATCTATTGGTTTGCTGGCTTTGCAGGAGGTCTGATCTGTATAACTCACTCTCTGGAGGGTTTAAACAACACTGTTCTACCTCCAAATGTGGTGGGTTTCAGCTCCTATAACTCCCATCCACATTTCTTTTTCATGAGATGCTACATTTTTTAAAATGCCAAAATATCATAATACCCAATGTTTACAAAACGATGTCACTCCTTATGTGTTTTCAGAAACTGAGCATCAACAACTAATACTTGTGGTAGGACAGAATTCTAATGCTGTGAAAAATGTTCATTGTCGAAAAATGGTTAAATCTTTTAAATAAAAAACATGGAATTTTGAAACTGATATGCACAAATAGGCAAGCCAGCAAGAAGTACATGACAAAAAACACAGCTTTGTAAACCTTTGGCATTACAATGGCCCATTGGACCACCTAGCTCAATATGGTCTACTCCAACTTGTGGTGGATATATGACATTCTTCACTGGTGCTTTCTTTCCTTTCAATGGAGTAGCCTGGAGCAGTCCTAACAGCATCCACCTTCTGAAAGTTTCCAAAAGATTTCCTCAAACTTAGCCATTTTTAAAATTTAACAAACTGTTGACAGTATTTGCATCAAAGGTTACCATCAAAATGCAAATATGTAAATGTAAAAAACAAAATCTTACAGTAGCTTTTCATGAGGTAGTGGCACAGAATGTTTTCATCTTTGAGATCAGGTATCAGGTCCCATAAAGTCTTGATTATTTTGCTCTAGAAAAATTAAAGAATATTAGAGAAACACCCTTCATAAAGATTTAGGGCTAAGGAGGGAAAAAAATGCTACAGCTTGAATTCTGAGATGTTTCTCAGCAGAAAAAGCAATCTGGACAGCTTATTAGAAAAACCAAGGGGAGAAATATAGGAAACTGCCTTGTACCATAAGACCGCCACCTCCACCTCCTCCTCCTCCTCGTTGTTGTCTATTACAAGCAGTTCTCCAGGATTTCACAAAGGTTTTTCCAAAATCTATCTGAGATGTTGGGGACTTAACCTGGGGAACTCAGCATACAAATTATGTGTTTTATTCCTAAGCTATAGCCATTCCCTTCATTCAAGTCATAAATCATGCATGTTTCTTCACTTTAAAATCAAAAGAAAATAAGATGTTATCTTAAAATTTAAAATTGTATTTGAAAAAGGGAAGACCTGCCTCACTGTTTCTTAAGTGATAACTGTGGACATGTAGAGCCAGGCTGAACATCTGCCATGATTTCTGGAATTCTTATCACATTTGTCACACAACTGGTTAGTTAACACCACTTTCAGTGTTGAGGGGGAAAAAAGTTGCATAAAAAACCAAACCTATGCCCATAACCCCACATAATTCATTCAACACAGATACTTTTTCTAAAATGGATTAATACTTAGGGAGGCAGGTTAGGCTAACAGGGATTTGAACCTGCATGTCCTTGTCCCCCATCTTAATTGATTAAATTGGGATATTTCCCTTTTTCTTTTTTTCTTGGGTTGAGAAAGTACAATGTTAACATCCCTGTGATAATGCTCAACAGTGCAAATGCTGACATCAGAACACAATTACGTAAAGACGTTACAAAGAATATGCTAATTACATTCAAATTAAAAAAAAAAGTTTATATACCTGTCCTTTGGTCTTGGCTTTCCGTATAAGAAAAGCTATGATGTAACTCCTTTGTTCACCTATTGCTTTGTTTCTCTTGAAAGAGACCGGGGGGGGGGGGGGG